AACTTTGCAAATAAACCCATCATAACGAATGTATCCCAAGTTTGAGAAGTGCTAATAATTTCCATTTCTGGATGATTTAGCTTAATCACTTACCCAGAAGTGGGATATATTCAGTTAAACAACACAGCTTAGTCATACCTTATTATTGGAGGACAAAAATTAACAAGGGCAGAACTGACCCTAATCACTCGATCAATTACAGGGGTTCTATCATGAGCATTACACATCAGAAAGTCAGTAGGAAGTGTCCCCTGAAGTATTGTATCCTTGCGCCGCAGAAGTCCAATGACTCTTTCCACATGAATGCGAACATTTGCAATGCCCCTTGTAGTTTCAACATCCACTGGATCAAGTTGCCTCTTGCCTTTYGTAAAAGCTGGAATTATCAGCTGCGCCCTCTTGAATGCAACACTCTCATGGATGGTAAAGCCACGGTCAGCCATAACCAAGTCTCCAGGCACTAACTTCTCTAGTATACCGCAGTTTTCTGTAAGAAACTTATCAGATGTTCTACCACCCCATGCCTCAGAAACATMMGAGACTGTCCCTTGTGGAGTGATCCCAATGAGAACCTTGATGGTGTTGTGGTGCTTATATGAGCTAAAGGTTTGTGCTCTTGCAAGTAGATTAGTAGGCTTTTCGATAAAAATCTCAAAGCRATCAATGRTTACAGTGGTCTTTGTACCAAAACTGAATTTAAAACACTGTGGCATAGTTTCAATCAAGCGTTCACGATCAGGCCAGTGAATATACTTCATCAATCTYACGTCCATAATCATCATCCATGAATRAAATGTCCTCGAGAMTGTAGAAGTAGAGACGTTGAAACGATAAGCAAGATCTTGGAACGGTGTATTTAATCTGAGCTTTATCAGAACCATAACAAACTCTTGGAAAAGACTCAGTGTTTGTGAGCGTCGAGAAACATGAGGTGATACTAGCTTGAACACATGTTTCAGCAATTTGAAACAAGAAAGACCAGTGTAAAACGTACCTTATCGTCACTATTCTTAAAATAATCTTCGTCAAATTCATTAATTCTCACATCTGAAGAATAAATGTAGTCGAATTCTTCTGTCTGGGAAACGGCATCATAACATTTACTACGCCGTACACGATCGGTTTGTGCAAAGTTCTCCACGAAGTTTTTTACCTCAGTCTGAGTAAACTTATCGTTCTCGTTCATGTCCTCTTCTGCGAAACATACATCTACTTCCTTACTACAAACTTCCGCGGTTTCCGCGGTTTGAGTCCCAAAATCGTCGCTTGATGGCATAAATGGAATATCAGACACTGGAATTCCTTCTTCGTTCAACCAAAGACTCTTTGTTTCAATCGCTGCTTGTTGCTCTTCTAACTTCTTTTTGCGTCTCGCTTTGGCTCTCTCTGCTCGTTCCCGCTCTGCTATGCCGTCGTTATCTTCTACCTTTCTCTTTGAATGTCCAAGGTTTAGCGTTGGGACCCAGTCAACGTTGAATCTATCCCAGCTTTTTGCTGCACGACCGGACACAAAGTGACGACTACAAACACGGTCATTCTTGAGAATTTGTTCGGTCAAACCATCTCTGCTTATAGCAGCTAGCCACTTCCTTCGACGCTCTATTTAAAGCTCTTCGGCTTGCTCTCCATGATTCCTGTCGATTGTTGGAACTCTATAGAAGGAAACATCTTTATCTCGCCCGCTTCTACCGTGGCAACCGACGAAAAGGCACAAAAACATCACATACTCTTTAGTCTACTTTGCTCTGTGAGCGTTTGTTTGTACACCAACAGGACCGCTAGCAACGGTTGTCAAGGGTTAAGTCACGTGAGTGAAAACCGAGAATATTTGCTCGNCAAGAATGGAGTGACAAAACTAATGGTAGGTAAAACATTTATGATTTTATGATATTCACAATATAATAATTCACACTATAATAATATTTATCAATATTATTAAATCACTAACCAGCAATCTCAACACTAAGAATGTGATATGATTGGCTAAAATTATAGTAGCTGTAATGYTAAGCTACAKTATATTCAATGTTACAGTCTTGATGYCAAGCTGTTMTTTCTGTTTTGTTGTTCATATAAGTTGTCTTTTACAGATTGCAACTTCAGTTGCTGCCCGAGGTCTTGATGTCAAGAAATTAAATTTAGTGGTTAACTATGACTGTCCCAATCATTATGAAGATTACGTACATCGTGTTGGGTAAGACTTGTATGCACATTACCTTGGCATTAAATGTTTTAATTTACAACACTRACCAGTTATATAGACACTCATACAAAATGTATCACATGTGATGTCCAGTTCTAGTGTTGGGCAGCCTGTGGTATCAGCCCAGGATACAAACTGGTGATCCAAACGCTTTGCTCTTCCAACTTACATTTATTATATCAAACACTCATCTAAAAACTACATGTTCAAAAGAATTGCTATTTACAAATGGCATTAATTTGCAGGCGAACAGGTCGAGCTGGCAATAAGGGCACAGCCTATACTTTTCTTACTCCTGAGCAAGGAAGGTAAGGATTGCAAATAATAATGTTTTTTTTAGTTTTGGTCTTTCAAAGTCTCAATCAATACATATTCATGTTCTAACTTTCTTATTTTTCAGATTAGCTCTTGAAGTTGTCAAGGTAAATTAGTATATCCAAGTTGTTTTATTAGGATTATTGTATTTGACTTTATTCTTATTTCCCCTGTTTTTAGGCCCTAGAAAATTCAGAAGTCCTTGTCCCTGGTGATCTGAGAAGCCTTGCTTGCGAGTTCATAGAAGGRCAGAAAGCGGTACATATTCTTAGAGAACTACATGTTGACAGCCTTTTGAATATTTGCCTCTCATTATTATTATTATCTTTTTGCTCTTATCAGTGTTTCATTTATATTATAATTTCATTGCAGGAAGGCAAGCAGATTGTCAAAAATAGTGGTTTTTCAGGAAAAGGTAGGTTCTGAGCTATTTAATCATGTATTGTCATTATAATACATGTAAGTAGTTCAGCAATTAAGGGGAGAACGTGCTTGCTACTCCTGTGATTATGGTTGCAATCATTGTCATCACAATGACTGTAGTCTTTATCATNGGGAAACGGCATCATAACATTTACTACGCCGTACACGATCGGTTTGTGCAAAGTTCTCCACGAAGTTTTTTACCTCAGTCTGAGTAAACTTATCGTTCTCGTTCATGTCCTCTTCTGCGAAACATACATCTACTTCCTTACTACAAACTTCCGCGGTTTCCGCGGTTTGAGTCCCAAAATCGTCGCTTGATGGCATAAATGGAATATCAGACACTGGAATTCCTTCTTCGTTCAACCAAAGACTCTTTGTTTCAATCGCTGCTTGTTGCTCTTCTAACTTCTTTTTGCGTCTCGCTTTGGCTCTCTCTGCTCGTTCCCGCTCTGCTATGCCGTCGTTATCTTCTACCTTTCTCTTTGAATGTCCAAGGTTTAGCGTTGGGACCCAGTCAACGTTGAATCTATCCCAGCTTTTTGCTGCACGACCGGACACAAAGTGACGACTACAAACACGGTCATTCTTGAGAATTTGTTCGGTCAAACCATCTCTGCTTATAGCAGCTAGCCACTTCCTTCGACGCTCTATTTAAAGCTCTTCGGCTTGCTCTCCATGATTCCTGTCGATTGTTGGAACTCTATAGAAGGAAACATCTTTATCTCGCCCGCTTCTACCGTGGCAACCGACGAAAAGGCACAAAAACATCACATACTCTTTAGTCTACTTTGCTCTGTGAGCGTTTGTTTGTACACCAACAGGACCGCTAGCAACGGTTGTCAAGGGTTAAGTCACGTGAGTGAAAACCGAGAATATTTGCTCGATATTGAAGTTCTGTTTTTGCAAATGTAGACTTGGACATCTGTCAAAGTGGACAAGTCTGCTAGTTATCTGTATGCTGCATGCAGTTCGCCTGTATAACTTGCCTTATTTCACAGACGAACAAAAGGTCACAGAAAGGTTTGTTTTCAATAATAAACCATCGCGTGAAAAACACTTCTACTCGCCTGTAACAGACCTTGTAGATCTGTTGCATACCTTGCGTGATATAAATCGGCCAATCATACTACCTAATCTTAGGGAGCGAGACACGTTAAATTCGTCCATCAATCACCGCAGTTGATTAGCGAATTGTCTTTAACAGACCTTACAGACCTGTTACAAACCTTAAAAAGACAAATATACTGACCAATGAGATAATCTACTTTCAGTTTATATCAATCGACACCATTCCGATCTGGCGATCATCAATCCAGTATCGCTTCGATCAATCAACATTCAGGGAAATACAGCATGCTTCTTTATTACAAAAACTAAATATTAATTATATTTCAACAAATCTTCAGCTCAAGTAATCAATTTGAATTGTCTCTTATCTTAATCATGAAACAGAACCACTTGTCTCTTAACGGCCTTGGCACGAATTGCAGCGCCACACTTGTTTGTTAGAATTTTGGTGAGAGTTTGGTCTGGTAATGAAAGAATTTTCCACTTCAATGTTGCTGCATTGACGTACCCTGTAAGACAAATAAATTCAATTACATTCCCATAATTTGCGGAGTTCGATTCATGTCGATTGCTGAGTAATTTCAGAGTAATTTAGCATCAAGACTCGTTATTTAGTTTGAAGACACCATAAGCTTTTGCATATTTCATTTTTTGCAAGAAAATCGCTAAACAATGTCACATACTGGGCCTTTACATGTACGTGACAAATGTTTGATGGCTAAAAATAGCACTCGAAATAGCCAAACTTTCTACCGAGCTTGTGTGAAATGTAAAATAGTAATTTCAAAAATTTAAATTGTGGCTTTCTAAGTAWYTCTTTCKTATTTATTTCGTTGATTTTCAGAGCATTTAATTCAAAAGAAAAATTTATAGAGCTCGAAGTGTTTACATATGTAGTTGTATATGCAAATTAGTACCTAGAAAAAAATATTATTTTTTCTATGTGCAAGTATTTTGTTTGCAATGAAATTCGGCGTGATAACTAAGCAAGGCATGAGCCTTACAAAGAAATAATAATWAGTCTGGGCAAATCACTTTCAGGTGCGTAGGARTGACTTATTCCAGTCACAATTATCAGCRTAAACACATATTTTGTCAGTTGTATTAACCCAACAATTTTCAAAGCATATAAACATCTAATCAACATTAAACGTATGTTATTGAAATAAAAAGGGTTAAGCTTATTTTCTTTGAACATTTTAGGCAATGTAAATGAATTTCGGTTGTTTAAAACATTTGGTGTTTCAACGGATTATTATCGCCAGAAGTATTCATTTCTATGCAACTGAGAGTGATTTGCCCAGACTAATTTTTATGTATTTGAAAAGCTCATCTCTTGTTTAGTAATCACTCCGAATTTTATTGCAAACAAAATACTTGCACGTTTAAAAAATGATCGTTTTGTAAAGGTACTAATTTGCATATAAAAATACATATGCGAATATTTCGAGTTCCAGAAAATTTTCCTTTTAATTAAATGGTCTGAAAATCACTGAAATAAATATCAAAGAGTTAGTGAGAAAGCTGCAATTTAAATTTTTAAAATAGCTATTTTAGTTTTTACATGAACTCGGTATAAAGTTTGGCTATTTTGAGAGCTATTTTTAGCAATCAAGCATCTGTCACGCAAAGGCCCAGTATGTGACATGAATTCGCGATTTTCTTGCGAAAAATGAAATATTTTCAAAAACCAATTACACAGCGATTGTTACCTAATCATACCTTACCAATATACAAAATATGAACAGATTTGATTTTTCGAGCCTTGCCAAAAAATTTCAGTTTTGTCTGGTTTTTGCGCGAAGCGGCTCTTAA